CACCCTGTCTTCTCTGAGAGGGTCTCAGTCGAGGTCGTCGGCGTAGGAAGAGCCGTGAGACTCTCCAGGTGTTTCGGGCACCGTAAAGCGATCAGAGAGGGGATCCGGGGACCCGGCGTGGGGGTGAACGGTCCTGCAGCGATGCCGGACCCTTCCCCGGGCGAAATGCCACCACCGCACCATAAGGGGCCCGAGAGTTAAACTTCTGAGCGGGCACACCCCCTCCACATCCTTCTGAACGATGGGACCCCAAGAGCAGCCATGGCCAGCTCCTCTTGGGAGGAGTTTGGGGGGGTGGTCCCCACGCACAACACTCGTACAGTCCTACAGAGGCTTGTCCCGGTTGGGACAGCCGAGAGAGGAACTCGGGCCACCTGCTCACTCGCTCCCTGTACCGGCGTCCCAGTAACCTTTTTCCTGCACACCCCTTCTTGCCCGCGCCCCCTCTTTCCCCAGCTGCACTGACCTCTCAGCTTGGAGTGTCCAGTAGATGGAGGACTCCTCGGAGTCGGCGGCACAGGAGCCACCTCCAAAGTGCAGGGGCGATGAGTGATTGGCCCCTGTGACCTCACCTCCAAAGCCCCTCCGAGGGCCAGAAAAAGCCCCCCAGGAGGGGCGCTTATCCCCGCGGGTCTGCAGAAACCCCCAGTCGAGCTGGGAAGCGCTGGGCGCCGCCGCCACAACCTGCTTTCTCATTCAAATCCTCACGCTCGCCCCGGAGCCCCCTCCCTCCGCCCCGCAGCTCCCAGGAAATCAGGAACTGGAGCCAGGAGAGTGGACGGGAGCGCCCGCTGCCTCCGCCGGCCCCGCGGGGCGGGCGCATCGGCCGGGGCTGCACCTGGACCCCTGGCTCGCACCTTCCTGCGGGGCTCCCCGGGAGGCGAGGCTCACAAACACCGGGAACGAAGCCCGTCCTTTCCCCCCCACGAGTTGCTGAGGTTCCCAAGCCCAGGGACACCCCTTGATCGTCGGTTTGGGGCTGAAGTCCGGAGGGCCTCGGTGGTGGCAGGGTTAGAGGAGTTGGCGAAACAAAGTAGGAAGAGGGTGGTGCCGGGAATGGGAACCGCGTGCAGCCTGCCCCAAAGTAAAAAGTGTTAGAAGCACATGTTAAAAGGAAATTCCGAGCCACCCCTCCCATATCTTATCTCCCCACTCCCTTGTTTTTTTTTCTTTTAACCATTCTAAAACATAGCGTCTTTCAATGCTGATCAAGAGATCTACTTCGAGTGAAGTGCAAGTAAAACTGAGGAAGAGTGTAGATGATGACCCCTCCCCCGTCTCTTCTTCCAAATGCCACCACTTGACAATAACAGGTCACTTAATCAGATCGGTTTAGTGGTGGGTTGACTCGAGTGGGCACCTGCCGCTGTGGCCTAGGACAGCCTGCACGGAGCAGGCACTCCTGTGTTGATGGAGAACGATGGCATCTACTGGACGCACTGACCAGACGCGTGACCAGCTGGGGCCAGAGGCTGGAGCAGCCGCAGGCCCCGGCAACCACGATGGGATCCGGCTTCGGGATTCCAGGATTTGCTTTTATCAGCCTTCATTCAACCTGCCCTATTGTTAGTTCAAAGCCTGGCTGGGAGGGAGTGGGGACGCGCTGCTCCTCGCTCACCTTTCAGTTTAAAATTCTCCTCCAATAAGAATGTCCTAGGAAAGCTGGCAGCGTGGGGTTGGCAGGGATTTTCTGGGCTTAGTGACAACATACACCAAAGTCATTTTCTTTTCTCAGGAAGTTACAAATGAGCGCCTTAGATTGAAGAGCGAGGCCTGGCTGCCCGACCGCTCTGACGAATTGGGGGGGGGGGGGTGGTAGCACCCTGACCTCCCGGCACAAGATCTAGGGTTTCACCTTTTCATCCCACTTAGCCGATACCATAGAAACAACCCATTTGTATTATTCAGTTCAACAGAGGCAATTACAATGTCACAGCAAAGCACCATGGGCAAGGAGAAACTCTATCCTGAAAAGAGTCCTGGACTCTCAGAAAAAAGGAAGAAAGCCACCAGGATAGACACTTAAATTTCTTCCTATCAATGGTACTGGGAAGAACTCAATTTGATTACCAAAAAAATGGTTCTACAGAAAGAAACCTCCCAAATTTTCTTTTTAACATGTCCATACACAAATCCCCAGTTTATAAGACATTAAGTAAATAATGTTCTGCCTCCAAGTGACTTTTTGTTTTGTAGACATGTGCTTTTTTTTTTTTTTTTTTGGAGACTTGTTTTGCTGGTAATCTCCATGGTGAATAGAAAAGAAAAAAAAAAAGATAATCCCTCCTCAACCGCGGTCATCCACCCATCCCCCTAGGCTCCCACCCCCGAACCTCCTGTGTTTGTCTTTCTTGGGTCTGAAAAAAGGCAGATCACATGTTGAAATAAAGTCAGACACATAAATTCATAAGAAAGCACTTGTTTGCTATGCATTCTTTATTTTAAGAGTTGTAATCAATTTTCATACTTTTGTAAACTTTTCCGTTTTTTAATCGTGCAATATTTCAAACCTACCAAAACGGGACAGACTTCCGCTCCCCCAACCCCTTCTTTTTATTATAAAGCATTACAGGTACTGCTAAAACCTGGTTCTTCCCACCTCCTTCCTTCCCAAAGGTGATAATTCTGAAGTTGGTGTGAATCACAGTTAAGCATGTTCTTTAATGTTTAGGACCTACATATGTATCCATAATCTTTTAATGTTGCTTTTCCCTCCAAGTCTTTTTTTTTTATTATCATTAATTGGAGAAAAATCACTGGCTAAAAACAAGAAAATGTTGTTTCATTGCTAAGATTTTAGAAGGAGAACAGAGCTATTTTCCCCTGCTTGTGACAATCAGAGGGAATTAGACAGTGGGTAGTAAACAGCCTGTCTAGGTTACACAAACCCTTCCATGGTGACCAAAGAATCAATAGAAAAACAAAACAAACACCCCCTTCTTTCACTGGTTAAAGGGGAATTGGAGAAAATGAGATTTATGTTAAAATTTCTTTGGACAAGTAAAACAAACATCCTATATGGTAGTCGAGTGTCTTTTCTGGGTGGTCTTTTGGTCATGCAAACTATGATCTTTTAGTATGGATACATCACCCTTCCAAGTATAAGGGACTCCTGCTGGTAGTTCAGTTCAAGGTTGAAATCAGTCCTGCTAAAAGTCTGGAGTTGAATCAGCCTGGCTTCCTCACGCATAGGGATCTCCATCTGTACAGTGGTTACAAAAAGCCCTTTATCATGGTCCTTTGACTTAGCATCCTCCCAGCATTAAAGGTGCTTGCTAAGAAAGCAGCAATTTTTCTTAAATGCCATCGACTGGTGAAAGACATGCTTCCCATCCCCCACCCTCCACGCTTCCAGAGCGATGACTCTCATTAATTATACTGGCACATCACGGCCTGGCCTCCCTGCTAAATAGCTGCCAGATTTCTACATATCTTCTCTGCCTTGATACAGAGTGTGCACTGACACCATGATCACAGAAAATCCTGTAAGAGGTGCCTGACACGGTAAAATGATTGATGTGCCTTGTGGTGAGCCCGCTGTGCTGTATATTACAGGGGGTTTCTTAGAAGACTGCACCAGGAATCTGTGCATTGGAAAAAGATTCTTCTAGCTGTATAAAAATGGTGCTTTCAGTTGCAAGAAATAGCCATGTATAAGATACTCAAATTTAACTAGCAAAAATCTCGAGGTATATCCTTGAACAAGAGAGTGGAGATAAATATTGTCTCAATTTTAATCAATACATCAGAAGTTAAGGGAACCATTGACCAAACAGCTTATCAAGGAGGAGTCCTTCCTCTTTTTTTTTTTTTTTTTT